AAAATTTTTGATTCATCAAAAGTTAGCTCAATTCACCGGTGCAACAACTGGTTCAATGTAAAAGTCATTTTGAATCATGATCGATCCAGCCGAAGTACAGGCTTATGAGCCACTCAAGTCTGGCTTCATCAAAACATATAAATACACACCATTGAGTCCGGCCCATAAACTCCCCCCAAGGGTACATTTATTGTCAAAAGAGGACTCGTAATTTATTTTTAATATTGTATTATGTTTATTCTTCATGCTATATTTCTTTTTTAACTAACTTTTTTTCAAAAGCAGATTCATTCCCCACGTAATGTCTATCACCTGCATCACATAGATTATCAGGAGCAAGTACGATCAACTCTATCTCTCATGAAAACACATCTCTGTAACCACTCATGACTTATGGTTCGGGGATTTTGAAGTACGATCATATAATTTGAATTGGATTTGTATATTTGATTTAATTTTTTATACTAACACATGGATTAATTTTTATGTTGCAGAGGTCCTCACCTGACTCCCAAAGCATCACCATCAGATCCGTCGAATATTCGGGATTCTAGGTAGGCATTGCCTCAGAGACATTTTCACGACAGCTCGCTAAAGGGGTGAGTGGTATGTCTGGATCAATGAGGAGCTCAAGGGTCAGTTGTTCGCAGCTCGGGCCTCACCTGATTATAAGAGGAAGAGGCAGACAAACCAGACCAACCGGGTGACCGAGGAGGCCAGGGCATCTGCGCTCCATATTGGCAGATCAGTCCCCCATACGGAGCACTACATGAGGCTGGTAAGATTTCCTTAAATATTTAAATATTAATTTAAAATTTGAAGCAATTTTGTATTGCTAACCAATTTTGTACGCTACGCAAGCCAAATATTTTAGTCGTGCTCCCTTCATTGCGAAGCTGCATGCACAAACTCATCGGCGCCTGGGGACTACGTAGTGGGTCTCGGAGCACTCCCAACGTACTGTAAGTTAAAAATCTTAACCTAAAAGTTTATTTTGACTCTAACTATTGAAAGTGTCAATTAAACACTGATTTTAATTAGGCATGAGGAGTTCGAGTAGCTTCGGGAGAGGCACTTGTTCAGTTAGGGCCAAACTTACACTAGCAACAAAGTAGGCAGTCTAACTCTGTGCAGCCTGAATACGAGCTTTGGACGCAGGTGAAGGAGAAGAAGAAGGTGAGGGTTTATAGACTTGGAGCGAATGACATAACCTTTGAGGTCGAGCTTTCCCGTGGTCCCGTATTGAGTTTCCTGTGCTCCTCACGGCCAAGCCAAGAGGTTCTTGTCAGGAAGGTGGCTGTAATGAATGAAGAAATCATCCAATTGCGTGAGCAAATTCTGGAAGGCCAACGTAGGGTCATGGACTTTTTAGTGGGCATGGCGAAGACTTTAGTAGATCGCCGAGTCAAACGACCATTAACATCCGTAGAGGAGGAGGAGGAGGGAGATGATGAGCAGTTTATTTTTATGTTTCCTGTATTTGTAAATATTATTTTGAACATTTGTTGTAGAATTTTGGGTTAACTTTACTAATTTTATTTGAGATGATTTGTGACAATTTCTTCTTTTCATTAGTGATCTTTTTTAGGTTTATGATCTGTGATATGACTTGATAGAATGCGGTATGTGATATGAATTTTATGTTATGCGCAAATTGTGGAAATTCAATTGCTCTTCTGATTTTTTTTTTCTATGGTTAAGGTTTGCGTAGTTTTTGCGTTTGTTTTGTTTCGAAAAGCTCGATACTAAATTGACAATAATATTTCATCATTGATCAACATTATCTACTGCAAATACGACTATAATCTGACGATATTCTTTATTGCCTGATGTTTTCAAATGCAGTGTTCGACATATGTAGACTAAACAAATCTGATGCTATTGCGACACAAAAACCAACTTAAATTATTTGTGTTGGAATATTTCAACGTAAAAAATGATGGAATTAACATTACCGACCCATAATTTACCCGTAGAAAGAAACATACATAAATTAGATGCAAATCAATTTTCGTCTGATTTTTCCAACGCAAATTTAATTTATTTTCTATAGTGGATATTCTTAAATTTATGGTAAATATATTAGCAAAAAGACCTTTTTTTTGCATAAATTTCTCCTGAAATTCTTCTGGTCAAAATTTTGAAAGAAATAGAGGTTGAAAATTCTGATATGTCAAACTTTTCATTTTCTGTCATCCATGTGAGAAGAAAAAATTTAACTTGATTATACTTGCCTTAATGAGTAGAAAAACACAAAGCTGACTAAACAAAGCAAATAACTAACTTTTTTCTTTATATAAAATTAGTACTTTGTGAAACTTTTCATTCAATGTTTATGTAGCAAAGGCTAATTAGAACTTAATTCATTGTTAATTATAAAAAAGTCTTAATTACCAAAAAGATGTATTGGTCTACAATATAAATATAAATGAATAGATTATATCTAACAATAATAATAATAATAATAATAATAATAATGGAAGACATGCTTTCTATATATACGCTCAACCACTATATCGTAGTTAAGTGCTCGAAGTTGTATAATAAATTTTCAGGAACGTTGAGATGAAAGAGCGACGTTAACATACGTGTTTCCAACCCGTAACCTTACGATTGGAAATTAAACTCTCACCTACCATGTCATAAGTAAATGCACGAAAAAATATTAGATTAAGATTATTCTTTTGGAAAGGTGGGACTTAAGGGTAATATACTTTCGAACCCGCGACCTCACGGTGTATGACTATACCCTCAACAACTATATCTTGTGCAAGTGCACAAAAAGCTATTCTATACTCAATAAAGATGAGCCCAAATGACGATATCTGTGATTCAAAACCACAACGTCATGGTGGCCGAAAACTACACCCTCAACCATTATGTTTGAGATAAAATAAAAAAATAAAAAATAAAGATAAAGCGATGATTCCTTCAATCTTTTTAATCATTTAAATCAATACATTTATCCATGCATTTCCATCTTTCACACTAATTCTTCCATGTAAATGAATTCCAATTTGCCTCACGTGTGGAAATGGATAAATTCATGCATTTATAAATGCAAAACTCAAAACAAAATGTTAAATGATGCAAAAGATCTAGCCGAAACTTAATGTGACTGTTCACATTAATATTTTAAATATCATCACATTTATGTCAAGCATTGCCTCTCCATATAAAGAATGAATTCAGTATTCTCTTCATTTAGCCATAAGAAAATAAATTCTCTAAAAAATATATATTTGTATAGATTTAGATCTTTTGATTGGTGAAATATATGGAAAAAGTTGGCTATTTTAGAGGGGTTTTTTGTTTGATATTTCAAACATTTCATGCTTGATGAATGATAGAATAATTATGTGATTGATGAAATTAGATTTGCATGTATTTTTGTGTTTATACATCTGAAGACCATATATAATAGTATTTGTATTACTAAATTTAAGGTAGGAATAATCATTTTCCTCTAATTTTAAGGAGACAAATTCTACTCTTTTTCTCTCCAAGAAGAAAATATTATATCTAGACATTGTATGTCTGAATGATAGCAAGAATCACACCACACCACTATATACATGATGTGCTACAATCCATGTTGTCATTCGGGGAAAAAATTTGCGTATGTAAGACGTATGCAGCGCTGCGTACGTTTTGGAGGTTATACAAGGGATATAAGGGAGTTATATCCGCGTTATACCTTCTTGTAACCTCCATATAACCTTCTGTAACATATCTGTAACCTACAAATAAGTTATTAATATATGAAAAGAGAAGCGCGAAACTTATTTGTAGATTACAGGTAGGTTACGGAAGGTAACATTGAGGTTACAAGGGGGTATAACGCGGATATAACCCCCTTATATCATCTGTATAATCTTCAAAACGTACGCAGCGCTGCATATGTCTTACGTACACAAATTTTTTCCGTCATTCGGACATCTAGATGACAAACGTAATATGTCTCCAAGTTAAAGTCCCTTTATAGCTACATCACTTATAATTAGGCTATGTAAGTGAAACTAGAAAAAAAAAAAGAGTACTAAAAGTAGGAAATATAAACACTTTTTAACTTAAAAAAATTTGCATCAACTGTAACATAAGCAATTGACTTTACATTAATTTTAATATATAACAATATTAATTATAAAACCATTTAAGTATAGAATTAAATGGACAAGTAAGGATTTATGCATGATTTTCATTAAAAAAAATTTGGGTTTTTCCGAACAAAGATGGTGTTCATTTAATAGTTGACATAAGAGGCTTCTCACTCCTGAATTTGGTGTGGCATTCCCATCCCCTCTAAACTAACATAAAGCTCGCATTAACTATTTCTTCAAATTTTAATCACCATATATATATATATATATATATATATATATATATATATATATTAGGAAGATTAATATGCATACAACTCAATTATTTTGTATTTTACATATCTAACACATAAATTTCATTTTTTCATTTATGTCACTTTATTTATGGATGAAAAATATGCATTTCACTTTTAAAACTTAAAATATTATATATATATATATATATTTATAAGTATAATACATTCAGATTGGGTGCTATGTACCTAAATACGTCTATAATATATCTTGATTATACATTTAAATTTCAACTATATGTTTATAACATTCTCTAAACTAAGTTTTAACTCACTTATTAGATAGATTTATCATTGGTCGTGGGTTCGATTCTCAGTGGCGCTGGATTCTCAAATATTTAGGCATATTATGTGAGCTTTCATCATAGAGCCTGGGGCATGAAAAATTAGTATTTGGACCTCTGCCAAATACCAATTTCCTTTAAAAAAAATTTAGAAAATTTTAAAAAATAAAAAATAAAAAATAAAATGTGTATTTTTTAGTGTGGAGATCGCACATAAATTCTACTCCATTGCCGTACATTCCAAGAGTAGGCCTCCGGCGGGTAGTATTGCTAGAATAGAAGTCCTACTCCTTCATTGCTTACAGCTTACTCTTTTCCTCTTCTCTCTCTCTCTCTCTCCTCCACACCCTCTTCTGCTCTTTCCCCTCTCCTTCTCCCTCCTCTCTTCTTATGGATCTGGTTTCTTCAAGGGAGCATCTCTGCTACGTTCGCTGTGCTTACTGCAACACTGTTCTTGCGGTAATCCTTCATCTCCATACCTCAATTTACAATATGAACCAAAACTTTTCTTAAAAAAAAGAGAGAAATTTCCCTTTTTTTCTTACTTCAGGACTGTACTGAAGTTCTCTAACATCATAAAAATACAGTTTTGATCAATTATAGGTTGTTTTTGAGAAGAATTATTGATTTTTATTAGTTTAATATATGAAGGACTGATAAAGGAGATCTCTTTCTGAATTTTATTGTGGTTTTTTGAGATCAGTGATGTTGTGTTGGTAGCTGCAGGTTGGAGTTCCATGCAAGAGGTTGATGGATACTGTTACTGTGAAGTGTGGGCACTGCAATCATCTCTCTTTCCTAAACCCTAGGCGTTTGCTTCAAGCTCATTACTCTGATCACCAGTTGGGATTTCAGGTGTATTTTTCTTTTTCCCTTTTTCTTATTTTATATGTTATATATACTATAAATTAATTTCTTATTTGAATCTAAGTAACATATTTATAAAAATATGATTTTTATCAGCATCATGAGAGGATGCTGGTTTGTCAGATATGAAGGATATATAAGAACATAATAACGAACTTAATTTAAGAGATGGTAAGAATTTTGTAGAACTCATTAAGTGAAAAAAATCCACAATAAATAGTTGCCTAGGAGCCCAAACAAGTAATATATAATGAAAAAATTCTTGTATGTGCAGATGATGGTGTAGATCGCATCACGTTGTTATGCACAAAATTCACAATAAATAGCTGTCTAGGAGCCCAAAGAAGTAATATATAATGGAAAAATTCTCGTGCGTGTGCGTGCGGATGATGGTGCAAATCGTATCATGTTATTGTTCAAAGAATGTGGTGTGATCCAAGATATCGTGTGAAACATAATATTTTCTCCTCAAACAGTATTAAATGAAGAAACAAAGATGATCATGCATAATCTCATACTAATTAAATTGTTTAAGGCCTTCGATGCTAAAATGAAGAGTTCTAAGTTCAAAATAAAGCAAAATGTAGTGCTGATGAGTTAAATTTCAATGATATCTCTCAATTTTGTTGCTTTGAATGAATTTAAAAAGTTATTAAATTTCAAACTTCTAGTCTTTCACATCTCAATCTCCAAAAAGTTTCTCAAAGATAATTTTTTTTCTATTTATTTGAAATTTTTGTTCATATATAATAACAATTAAGCTTACCCATTCTTAATTTCAAATATAAAAAAAGTAATTTTAACATCAAAATATACTCTTTTTATTAAGAAACAAACTTCTGCAAATACATAAAAGTTCTTCCTACATAAAAATATAATTTTTAAATGAAATTCACCAACTATACTCTCTCTCTCTCTTTCTTTATCTCTCTCTCTCTCTCTCTTTATTATGAGTTGAGGAAACAGGACTGGTTGTGTGAATTAAATTTCTGAAGAAAGGGTCTGCAACAAATTTAGCCAAGAAAGGGGTGTTTTTGATTGTCTAAGACCTGCTTTGTTTTTGGTGAAATTGCATGCAGGATCCATGTAATGATTGTAGGAAGGGACAGCTTTCAGCAGCATCTTCATCAAGCTCTATGGAGCAAGCACCAAAAGCACCTTTTGTTGTCAAACGTATTAATTTATTATCATTATTTTTGCAATTTTATTTATTTGTTTAATTATTTATATATATAT